AGGATCAAGAGTGTTTGGGAGTCTGACCCAAAATCACGACGACTTCTGGTTCACCTCTGCTCTACACTGCTCAATAAACTGCTGGAAAAATCCCATTTGGTACACAAGGCAACAAAACAGATCCATCCAGCATGAGGTACCTATTCAGGACAGAACACCCACTGTAGAGAAGTGACCAGATTGGGAGAACAATGGTTCTTGTAACAGGTATGAGTTGGTCAGCTGCAGAGCCATGGCTGTAACTATTCTTTGAGATGTTACTCATATGAACATTCCTATTTTATGAGGGAACATGTACACAAACACCTGAAACAGAGTTCATTGCCTCAGAAGTACCAGTAGGACAAACACCCTGTTCGTGCACTGCGCACAAAGGTACAGAAAGGAAGGGCATGCTTCATACTGCCAGATCCCCTCAGCATCAGTGTCCCAGGAATCCTTCAGGAGGTTCAAGACTGTGAATGTGCATGCAGACAGTACATGTCAAAGAAGAACTGGTTTAAGTAACAATCTTCTCCTTCAAGCACTTACCCACATGGACATTCACGCTGTAGACCACTCCCAACAGTAAAAGCTCTACCTACCCAGTGTCTGCTAGAGATTGCTGAACTCCACCTCCAAAAGATACCAGTGGTATTATCCTCCTCAGACTCCTCAGAGGATGGAGAAACTGAAGAACCTAAACAACAGGCTAGTTCCACACACCAGAGGAGAGAATTTCAGGTAAAAATCAACTGCATTCATCCCTTAACCATGACCTAAGGGTTGCTTTGCTTCTCATGCCACTTGCAAAAAGCATACAGGTATGGGCATCTTTTGCTTCTGCACATTACTGGTACCAAGTGGGTTAGATCTGAATTTTGCTAAACTTACATAATGTGTATGGCATAACTCCTTCATGAGAATGATCTAAAAAGAATATCTAAATATTATTTTAATATTGTGAATGAGTGTTTCTTGTGATCCAACTTTTGGTTTAATTTTTTTCGGAACAGGCTGTCTGTCAGACAGCTACTGAATGCGACTGACAGTTTGGATGTAGCTGCTGTTGGAGCTGGAAAGCCGTGCTAACATCCAGATCATCAGACTCCCTCTTAGCCTGTCTCAAGGAGTGAGAAAGCACAACAATTATTTATCAAGAGTGGGTAAGAAAGCAGGTCTACCTCTATAGGTCTCACAAAACCATTCAGGTGTAGGTATGGAAAAGCTAGTGGTTCCAGGGCTGCATCTTTTTTCTCTCAGGGCTATATAATTTTGTTCCCAGTGCTATGGGTAGTCCCATAAATGAATGAGAGGGCAAACAGCCTGGGGATGAAGCACTTTTTTTTTAATTATGCTTCTTGTATTTTGGTGTTTGTCCCTGAGCTGAGACTGGCACCAGTAATGGCAAAGCAATATTCTGACAAAGCTTACCTGCTACCGCTGTGTTGGGAAGTCTCAGAATTAACATGATCACACAGTGTGACAGATGCTACCCCACCTGCTGCTGATCTTTCTGGGGACAGTTCTCTAAAGCATTTATGGGACACTGTCAGGGGCTATTCTCTTTTTACCTAAGAGGGATAATTTCTGAGAAGGTGCCAACTTCAGATCCTCTGCTAAGGAGCCAGCTGCCTTCCCCAGGGAATAATCCTGGAAACCATGGTAATGGTCCTTTTTTACTTGAGGCTTGTGTCCAATGTACAGCATGCATTCCATGGTGCACAGGCTTCTCTGAAGCAGTTCAAACAACACACAACATCACGAGACTTGAAGTAATCTTCACAAGATAAGAGCTGTTAAAAGTTTAATGGAAGAATCAATGTCATCAGAGGAAACACTAAATACTAGAAGTGAAGGCAATGCAGTGATGCAGCTGCAGAACAAGGAAAGCCTCATGCTCTACCTTCACATGAGCTACAAGTTCAGCAGGAACTAAGGACGCACATGGAGCATGAACACCTTGTATCAGCATGCCCTGGGGTGAGGAAGAGCTTGAATTCAAATACTTGAATGTAAATATCTCCTATACAACATTCAGCTTATTACATCACCAGGAAAGCTACGCACTATCACTGCTGCTTGTACATGCACATGCTTTGCAGACAAGCTCTTAATAAGCAGACAGACTTCTACAGTTCTATGATAAACACCTATGAATAGTACTGTCATTACAAAATGATTGCTAACAGTGTTGTAGCTATCAGCACACAAAATACTCTATGTTAGTGTCAGATGTTTCAAGCACAAAACCATAACCAAAGCACCTGCTGCAATAAAAAGGAAAAATTTGCTTGTTTTTAAGTGACATCATTTAAACATAGGATATTTAGAAAAACTCTTCTTGAAATCATCTCTTCAGCTACTTACTGCAAAATTATATCTTTTCTAGGAGCTATGTTCTTCTTTCAAAACATAATATTTATGCAACATGAATTCTTTATTCTGGAATACACCTTTATATGTTTATCCTCCCTTTTTTTTTTTTGACGGAATACATTTTGTACAATGAAGAATGGGTTTTCTAGGAGCTATGTTCTTCTTTCAAAACATAATATTTATGCAACATGAATTCTTTATTCTGGAATACACCTTTATATGTTTATCCTCCCTTTTTTTTTTTTGACGGAACACATTTTGTACAATGAAGAATGGGACCTGACTAACCTAGTGGCCTTCTATGATGGAGTGACTACATCAGTGGACAAGGGAAGAGCTACAGATGTCATCTATCTGGACCTCTGTAAGGCCTTTGACACGGTCCCCCACAACATCCTTCTCTCTAAACTGGAGAGGTATGGATTTGACGGGTGGACTGTCTGGTGGGTGAGGAATTGGTTAGATGGTCGCATCCAGAGGGTAGTGGTCAATGGCTCAATGTCCAGATGCAGACTGGTGACGACTGGCGTCCCGCAGGGATCTGTATTGGGACCAATACTGTTTAATATCTTCATCAATGACATAGACAGTGGGATCGAGTGCACCCTCAGCAAGTTTGCAGATGACACCAAGCTGAGTGGTGAGGTCAACGCACCA